TCCTACAGAGCAGCTGGGAGATTTGAACCATGTGCCTTCAGGCTAGCAGCCACCTTCTTACCACTAGCCACCAGAGCTCCCTTTATTGTGATATTGTTATAATATTCCTCTTTATGTATACTGCAAACCTATCTGGTTTTATACTCAACAAACACTGTTTACTTAAAAATCTCAGCTTCTGTACATGCTGATTTTCCTTTGCAAGTTCAGACTTCTCAAAGCTGTGGGCAAGGAGCAGAGAGATGAGCTGGAGGCTGGGGTGGTGTCCAAGTGAGAGAGGACAGCAGCTTTCAAGGGGTGTGGCAGCAGAGATGATGGGAAGGCAGATCTGGGTCTGTTCTAAAGGGGAATTCAACAGATTTCCTGAAGGACTAAATATGGGGTAAGGAAAGGAAAGAACTGAGAGTGACTCCTAGATTTCTGGACAGAGCTCTACTGAAATGGAGATGCCAAGGAAAGACAAGAAAGTGGGACTAGGCAGAATGACATCAAGTCTGTCATCTGGGGTAGGTCAAGGTCAAGATACTAAATAGAAACTCAGAGTAAGATGCCAAGTAGTCAAGAAGTTATGAGTCTGAAGCTGAGTGAGGAGGTCTAAGCTGAGGGCATGGACTTAGAAGGCATTGGTGAAGAGAAGGTTCTGGAAGCCTGGTGATCCAATGCCATTGTGGAGTGAGAACTGAGTCCCATTTAGGAGTAGAGGAGAAGTCACAGATTTAAAAAATTTTTAAAAAGCACAGAAGGAGGACCCTAAAGAAACCAGAGCTACAACCCAAACAGATGTTTGCACACCCATATTTATTGCTGAATTATTCACAACAGCAAAGAGATAGAAGCAACTAAAGTGCCCATCAACAAACAAATGGATATAAAACTATGGTATATTCACACAAAGAAATATTATGCAACAGTGAAAAACAATGAGCTCTTAAAACACTACATAACATGGCCTGGAGGACATTATGCTAAGTGAAATATCTCCGTCACAAAAGGACAAATGCTGCATAACACCAGTTATAAAATAGGACTGACATGAGTGGTTGGCAAGAGAATGGGAAAAGGGTGGATAGATAATGAACACTGCTCTGGAACAGATGAGGGGAAGAACAGTCCAAAAGAAATGTATGATTAGGTGTTCTATGAATGATAAAAACCTGCAATAAGAGTTGCAATGCACCTCTCTATGAAGATGGTGCAGGAAGTGAAGAAGGAAGCCCCTGCCCCTCCCAACACTGAAGCGAAAGCAAAGGCATTAAAGCCAAGAAGGCGTCCTGAAGGGCATCCACAGCCAAAAAAAAAGAGAAGATCTGTCACACGTCACCCATCTTCCAGAGACCTAAGACACTGAGACTCCAAAGGCAGCCCAAATACCACTGGAAGAGTGGCCCTGGGAGATAAAAGCTCGACCACCATGCCATTATCAAATTTCCCCTGACCACTGAGTCAGCTATGAAGAAGAAAGAAGATAACAATACACTTGTGTTCGTTGTGGATGTCAAGGCCAACAAGCACCAAACTAAATAAGCTGTAAAGAAGCTCTTGACATTGACGTGGCCAAGTTCAACACTGGTTAGACCTGATGGAGAGAAGGTGTATGTTCAACTTGCTCCTGACTGTGATACTTTGGATGTTTCCAACAAAATTGTCATCATCTAAACTGAGTCCAGTTGACTAATTCTAAATACAAATTCTTCTCACCATCAAAAAAAAAAAAAGAGGTGCAATGGAAAATGGACTGGGGGTAGGAGAGGGAAGAAAATGTGCAACAATGAATGAATTAAAAAAAAATTTAATTGGGGAGAGACTGAGTAAGATGGGTTCAATAATGTATACTGCACTGAAACAGAGGAGGGAGAAAACTGTTTAAAAGAGATATATAACTAGGTA